ATGATTTTCATTGGTCAAATGATTCTAAGACAATTCATCTCAAACATTCATATCTACAAAATTTGAAAATGGGTTTCTCATCCATATGGCATAGTCTGTAGTGCCAAAGATATGCATTATTCAAGTTATGTCTTTTATCCCTTCTATTTTTTTATACTCATAATAGAAGACTCGTTATCTAGAATATAAATGTCATTTTGTAATTTATCACAATCATAAAATATCTTATCAAGATAAAATGAACAATTGTCCTTAATATTAATTGTAAAACCATTCATTTCCAAATATGAAATTAAAATATTGTTTTTGATTATGGTGGGAACAAAATAACAATTCTTTAATTCTATTGCTAAGTACGAAGGCAATTGTAATAAGTATGTTCCTACAATTAATGTTGTAACCTATGCTCCATTTCCTATGAGCATGTTAACTTTTCCCTTCTACAACCTCGATAACAAATATACCTGAAGTAGAAGTTTCGAAAAACTTATTTTTCCTCAAGTTATGAGGTAAGTCTTGCGGTTCTTCTTCTAATGAGCTTTCATTCCACAACGACAGCAAAGGTTACCAAACTTGAAATTATCCTTCTTTACTTTGACTACCTTCTTAGATCTTAGTTTTGCTCATTCCAACCAGTTTCAATTCATTGTGATAGCCAAATTGTTATTCGTATTGCCAATAATATCCTCTTCCATTAGCACACAAAGCATATTGAAATTGATTGTAATTTTGTTCAAGAGAAGATTCAAAATGGCCTCATTGTTCCTCCCTACCTACAATTTGGCGATCAATTGTTGGACCTATTTACCAAACCACTTGGAGGTGACGCCTACCAGAAACTACTGCACAAGTTGGGTCCTTGAAATTTTAATTCCAACTCCAATTTGAGGGGGGGATATTGATGAATACAAAAGCTTCAACAACAACAAAATCCTTCACACATTCTTAAGTTATAGTTGCTCACAAAGAGATAACATTGCTGTATTTCTTTAAATTGTTGTTATCTCTTTTCTGCATGTAAATATTTTGTAAATCATATCTATAAATATATGATAGTAACGAAAGCTTTGATAAAACCTTCACAATCAATTCTCTTCTGACGTTCAACAAAATTCCCATTGAAGATGGTGGGAATATGCATTTGTTTCCTATTCTTTTAATTTTTTGCGTTTNTTTAATCGAAATCGAACCTCGTGAATCGAAATCAAAATCGAGAATCGAGAACTGATTGGGTTCGGACCAATTCTTGGTTCCTAAACCAGAATCATGGTTATCCAAATGAGTGGCCTTTATGTTTTTGCCTATCGCTTCACATTAGAGTGTTGCATTTTAGAGGTTTGTAGACAATAATCTTTGCAATTTGGACTTCCATAAGTCAAAAAATTCAAGCTAGGAATGTCTAAGTTGATGAATCAAAGCGTTCATTCAGTGCAAGTCGAGCTTTTTAGCCCATGTTTGTTATCCATTATTTAGGAAATTAAAGAGTTTTGAATATTATTTTGGAGAATGTGTGGTTAAAAAGTAAAGAAACTTTATTTGTTTGTGTGTAGAATATTTTATTATGTAAATGTGTGATGAAAAATAATACTATAGCAAATAATTTAACTTTTTGAAGGGTGACAAACAAGTACTTATTATTTTTTATTTTTTATTTTTGGTATTGTTTACAAACTTAAGTGATTTTTTCTAACATGTTACAGTTGAACTTGATATACTCATAACTTGGATTGCGGTGTATCTTTTTTATTATCTCGAGTTCTTGGTTCTCTTTTAAAATATATTCTCTTTTCCTTTTTTACTCAAACAAAGCGAGTTCAATATGTAAACTACAATATCTTGATACTATATAATTACGTATCTAATTATTTTTTTTTTGTCAGTTCATTTTAAAACTAGAATAATTTTAAAAAATTCCATAATTAAATTATATGCTCTAACATGCCTCATTGATGTATCGATTAAGATTTATTAAGAAAAAATCGTTTCTTCTCAAATTGTAATTTAATTTTTTCTTCTTTTCTTGGTTTATAGTCCCCACTATTTTGAGTCATATAGTTGGATTTCATAGCTTTTTGAAGATTTTTTTTTATCTAGATTTTTTCCTTTGCACCAATATTGTCGAGTAGCAGCACATTAGATATACGTATTAAAATGATTTGTATGAAAATATTTATTAAATGTATATAAAAAATATTATAGGCAAAATCAATTGGATTTTGTTCCAATAATTACAAAGATCCGAATCGTTCCATTTACGAAGTAATTAATAGCCAAACCGATTCACCCGACATCTAGACTTAAATTATATATAAAATCTCACTCCTAAATAGTTTATAATGGAGCAACAAAAAGAAGTAAAAAAAAGACAGCAATTATTAACGGTAAACGTAAAACGAAACACACTTTGGTCAGAATTTGAACTGAATTACTCACACTTTAGCTGCAACTATTAAGAAATTTCTTCCTTTGACGCTTGAGAATTGAAAATATAAATTTTCAACTACCTTTCCATTTTTATTTATTTATTTATTTCTTCCGGTTAGTCCCAATGATAAGAAGCCACATCCCCTTTGTATTCCCCTGTACAGATTTTTCCTGCACACCAAGCATGATCCTATATATTGTTGGGGATGTGCTATATGCACAGACCCCTGTGCACAGGGTGTGCACAGGGTGTCTCACAAGGGGGTGGACCCTGTGCACAGGGGTCTGTGCAAGAAGGGTTTCCATATTGTTCCATCCCTTATTAAACCAACGGGCCATGTTTCCCATCAACATCACACAGAACTACACCGTTTAATGTCACAGTTGCAGTGCTAAATATAAGTTTATATAATATCACTAGTTTGGTACAAAAACAAAAACTATTGAAGTCCCATCATCGTCTACTTGAAATAATTTGAAACCCGTTGAATCACACATTATCCTCATTTCGTTCTACAGTAGAAGTTACATTCTAATCTGCAATTCGTTGAAATTTAACATTTCCTTCGTCCAATACAGCCATGTGCTTCCTCTTTTTCGACAACTTAGTGGAGTCTGTGAAGTGGGCAGCCGTTCGAGCACGCAATTCCTCCAAGCTCTCACCTTCTTTGGCTCTCTCAAGAACCTGAAAAGCAGCAAGCAGGCAATTAAAAGCATACACACAAAAAAAAAAAAAAGGGA